CCGTTTCACCTTTTTTTGTGTCAGGTAAAGTAGAAAGTTTTTGTTCATAAAGTTGCTTATGAATGGATGCAAGTGGTCATCATGGAAAAGTTTAACCCTATTACTCCAAGAAGTGATTGACATGTGCATCCAACTTTACTCTATAATATCCATACATTATCCGGCAAACTAGTTTGGAGAATACTCAAACCTATCAGGTAGAAGTTGTCATCTTGATCTAACACCAAATTCTCTTAACTAATTTACAAGGGAATGTAAAGCAGAGGGAGGGAAGAATAACCAATCAGAGCATAGAAGTTAAAGGTTAAATTAAGATTTAACAAATTGGCTGCAAATGTGGCTGTTATATAAGCAAGAGGTTGATAGTAGTGTGACCTGTGTAATTCACCAGATAACTCCTTAATGAAACATTCTTCTGTCTTATAACTTACCTTCCTTTTTTCAGGCACAAGGTGCAGCCACTGTTGTGTACTGTGCTACATCAAAAGAACTCAATAAAGTGGGAGGACACTATTTTAATAACTGTAATGTGTGCAAGCCATCAGATGAAGCTAAGAATCCTGAAACAGCTGCCAAGCTTTGGAAGCTGAGTGAAAGGCTTGTCAGGCAAATAATGTTAAATGATACACAAGTTGTGGACTTATAGTTAAAAGTTGGTCAAGTCTGACTTGTAGGGGCGTAGGCCATGGTGAAAGCTGTACAATGTAAGCTGCCATGACATTGGCAATACACTGTACATGTCCAGAATTCTAAAGAGCAATGGTTTCATGTGAAAGCACACTTGTTGCGGAGAGAGACAATAATAGAAAATCCTAATTTAATTTAATATAATTTCTCAGATGGTCTTAGAAATATGCTGTTAATGGCTGCTGGAGACTTCATTGATGTATCTTTCCACAATAACCAGATGAGATAGCAATACAAAAGCACTACATGTAATTTTTCAAAATGGGCATTCCACAATTTTTTGACAGTTTTTGACAATGAAAGCAAAGGAAAATGTGGTTATTTGGTTCATCAACCAAAATTTTATTGTACTACTCTTCTCAGGCTCAGTAAATATTGACAAGTGATCACTTAGCTCCTTAACAAATGATAACTGTAAAATATATTTTTTAACTAATAAATATTTTATTATGAGCAGCACATCAAAGGGACAAGATGAACCTTAAAAAAAATAAACAGGACAAAGTGAATCAACATTCATTAGTCACTGTTTAAGGTGCAAGTCATAAAAATTGCCATGCAATTGTTAACTGTGTGAGTTTTGAACTCTACTGTTAATTTTAATTGGCTATAGTTGCAAATTATTGACATTTAGACATAAGTATGCCACATAATGGTAGAATGTTTCTTATTGAAAATCAAACACCAGGAACAATAGTATTGTTGTACCATATTTATTGTAAAGAAAACAGATATTTAATAATTAAAACCTTTTATTTTATAGAACTTTGTGTTTAAAATTTTTTTCTTCCNGATTAAGCACCCTCCTTCCAATAACCACCACTCCTTTTAGCCCAAATGTTATACTTATTTGTGAAAGTATGGTATATGAAGACAAAATTAGGGTATAGGGTGAGGAAGTCAGAGAATAGTTCTCTTGAAATGAAAGATTGTTACTCCGGATATCCACTTTGAGAGTTAACATTTCTGTTCTTTTTCACAGTTACTGAAGCTTCCATGGAAGAAAATACACATAACTTTAATTGTTCCCCCACTAAATAGCTTTCACAAAGAATATCAGATTAAGATTAACCATTATGCTGAAGTATCTCTGAAGTGGAAACAAACCAATGTGTAGGAGACTATCAGATGAATAAATAACTTAAAGTGAAATTGACACAACACAAACTAAGGCTTGAATTACTCATCAGTAACTTTAGACTTTTCTTGGAAGTCATCTACTAGTAAGGATTCTCTCTTTTCCCACAACTCTTTAAGTAATGGATCAAGGCTATTTGCAAGAACCATCTCATCAATCTCATTGTGACTAAAGTTTTTATATTTTTCTTCCTCTCCTTGTTGTTTGACAAGTCTCCAGATGGTATTGGCTTTTTCCTTTTCTTCCTTGGTCAAGTAGTTTTTACCAACACCAAGAGTAGCATTTTCAATTGAGTATACACTTATAAAACGCTGAAGAAAAAGACGAAATAATTGGTAATACCTATCAAGAGTCATTGTTTTAATAAAGGTGAGGTTCAAGTCTTGTGGCTCACCCCAGACAAAGCTTATCCCAGTTTCCTAAGCATAGAGCGACTAGGAGTATTACCCCTCCCCCCTGGATGGGATGCTAGTCCGTCAGAAGGTTACCCCCCATTATGGAATCAGGCCTACCCAACAAAACACTAGTACCCACATATACTCCTGGGTGGAGAACAGCATTGTAATTGTAAAGCGTTTAACCCAAGAACACAACACATTGACCGCACCACGGGCTCATTTCACGAAAGTCCCGGTAACTTAACAGGCCCATAAAGCTGTTCTGTTTTCCTTCAAGATAGGGATTCAAAAGTTTTGAAAATGATACATTAAAACTATGAGCTAAAGCAACAAAAAGGACTGGTTTGGGTGATAAAACCTGCTTTCCTATCCTTTAAATTTTGATTTTCAAATGTGGCTTCAGGCCTGTTAAGTTACCGGGACTTTCGAGAAATGGGCCCCAGGTCTCAAACCTAGACCTTTGGACCCAGAGCCCACCACATGAACCATTTAACAGGCCAATGCATCATTCACATCATTTAAATATACCCATCATCAATTATCAAAAGTCATAAACACTTGATGCTAATCATAATTTATATTGATCAATGGGTGTAAGGACTTGCATCTTTTCCTTTAATTGTGTCTTGAGCAATTAATTGGTATCACTGAATTTTGTTTTCCAAAACATTTAACTTTTGTTGCCCTTTGTCTCAGATAATGATCATAAAAGATTAAGTCAAAAGAAAAAAAAAATTCAATGTGCCTTTTTCCTAACCCCTTATACCTCTCCTGATAACCTAAGATGCCTGCACAACAAGCTTCTGTACAGTTGATTGTGCAGGCTGATTCTCTGGGTGAGAGAAACCCTGAGAAGGAATTTTACCATCAATAGTCAGGCCAATGTTTCAACAACCTTTTAGTTAGCAGAAGTCATCATGAGAGTCAATCCAGACATTACATATCCTTCTCAGCACTGTTCTCACCCAGATGATTGGACTACATGATCACCTGTCACTCTTGGGTTCACACCATTGTGTACACACTCACACCGAAGTACACAAAACCCAAAGTTTAGACCAACCTATTATAATTATGACATTGAAGGCACTTACCTTTTCATTAAAGCCTTTGCTGGAAGTTCCCAGACCATAGCTTTGTGCAATGTCATGAACTTGTTTCCGATGTAGTTTTTCAAGATCTGGCGGAAACTGCAACTCTGCACTCTGGTCCTTCCAACCTATTTCTCGGAACCACTGCAAAAAGGAAAAAAGTGATACAGTCTGAGCATCAAAATCACATGAAGAGAGCTGAAATTGGACCAAAAAGGCAACATTTTGATATCTTTAACTAGATTAAACTATTGGCTACCAAGTTGTGGCTGATATAATTTTTTCACAAGTTTCTAATCAACCATCAAATGGTAATAAATCTTTTACCATTAGTATCCTGATCTTTGAAATTATCGCCAGCTGTACTGAATAACTTCCTTAGTCTGTTTTTCAGTGCTGGCAACAGGCCTGACAGAGCAGCAGTGTGTTTTTACCTGACAGTTTTCTTTTTTCATTGTGTGGGCCAACTTACCAGCATCAATTTTCGTAGTTCTTTTTCCTTGAAAGGAAATTGAAACTGTTGAATGTTTGAGTTACTCTCATCCTTTTCTGTTACTTCAGGAAATGGAAGGTCACCTGAAAATCAAATTCAAATGCTGTATTTTGACAAGTTGTAATAAGTACAAACTATTTTTAAAACTATGTTCTGATTATAAACATTTAGTTTAGTTTACTTTATTACTTTCGCCAACTGGCAGGGACACAGCAACAGCTTGCGCCAATTACTGCAGGCCCAGTAAACCCACCCCTCCCACCCCAGGGGAGGAC